TAGAAAAGCATTATAAATTACTATATTTAGCTTTAATTAATAAATTTTCATATAAAATTGATGTAATAAATTTTCGCGAAAAAATTATTCAATATTTATTTCACCCTCCTGTAGATAAAACATATTAACATCCTAAAGGAAAGAATATTCATGCAGCTTTAATTCTTGTTTATATGATATACTGACTACTAGAAAAATATGTGAACATATTTCAGTCTTAGTATCATATTATAGATGTGAAAGAAGTCAAATTATTATAAAAATTATTAGCATAATTTTACCAGAATAGATAATATTGATGATTGGTTTATTATGCGAGATTTAATTGAGCATCATTAAAATGCATTAGAATGGAGACACTGCAATTTAAATACTTCACAAAAATAATTTGTAAAATAAAATAATGTAAGATAGTCTGAATTATTATATTTGCTATTTTTGATCTTATAAAATATATCACAATTGATCTAATGCATTGCCTATTTTTAGGCATTGTATAATAGATAATAAAATGAATTTGAATTAATAAAGAGATTTTGACATTAAATTCTCTAAATAAGATTCAGAAAAAGATGAATGAGTTTTAGATTCCTTCTGACCTAGGTCAAATTCTGGGTAAAATTCATAAAGAAGAAGAATTTTCTAATTTTACGGCCAATCAGTGGTGAATATTTTTCACTATATATGTCACTGTTTTACTTTAAGAATATCTTCTAATCGTAGATAGAAAGTTTCTTACATATTTCGTAAGGATTTGTACAATTTTAGTAAGCTGGATTGTAGAATTAGATCTATTACATGAAGTATATCAAAGACTAATTGAAATGGTGAAGTTGATTGAAAATAATTACAGGTGCAATAAAATTACATTAAATCTTTATTTCTTTCTATTTGTACAATTGCTCAAAAGACTATGGTCTGTTATATACATTTTAATATTTTTCTTTGAACGTATGAATGAAATATTAGGTATTTTTTTGAGAATTTCTTGAATAAATCAGCTTACTAATTTATGAACGATTTTTAGGTTCTTTATCAAATAGTAATAGAAAAATTGAACTTGAACTAATATGTTAATTGATGTTTGATATTCAAATCGACAATATTATAAGTTCTAGTGATATTGAGGTAAAAGTGCTTGAATCAGCCTTTAATTAGTTCCCTTTTGGATACAGATGAATTTTCTTCTAACAAAATCTATTGATTTTAGATGAATTTATGAAATATTAAAGAATCAAATGTTACTGATAGTGAACTATTTCCTGGTAAATTTCTTAAACTATTATTTGATAATATAATTATTTCAAGCGAAATGCTTGATTTGATGGTTAAATATTATAATGTGACTTATATTACATTTGATTTTAGGAAGTTATTTGATAAGGATTCAGAAGATGATATAACGATTCAGATCAAAATGAATCAATTCAGAAGGTGCTGAATTGGTTCTAAAATCTTTAGATCATTAATGTCTTGTAACATATAAAAAATTCATATATTTTAGCTAAATTTATTATAAATGATAGTATAGTCAATTATTATTCTGGTCAAGACTAATATTATTTTACATATAAAATTAATTTGTTATCCAGACGGGCTGAATATTTTCTAGCATTTGTTCATTAATATAAATCTACAAGTTCTCCAAATATGCAGTATTATTTTAGCGAAGAAATATGTAATATCGAATTATGAAATATCAAATTTTATCTGAAAAGTCATAATTGTATAATACCAATTCATTATATTTTGGATCAATGTATATTGATAAACTATCGAATTTCAGCCTAACAAAATGTAAAAGAATATTTGGCTGTTAATCTAATTAATAGAAAATACCATTTGTGAAAATAAATTAAATATTTTTAGTATTATTTGGTTATTAATCCTAAATATTTTCTTCTGAATTTTATTTTATTTTGAAATATTTTAGCTGACTTTTGATGTATATCAATCAAATATAAATCAGATATCAATTGGCTATAAATAAGATATGTTGAATTTTAGCTGATTCTTAGCTGATTTCTAATGTATGTTAATCAGATATAAATCGCTATAAATAAGATAGGTTGAATTTAGCCTATTTTTGATGTATACCAACAGATGTAATTAGACATTAATCGGCTATAAATAAGATAGGTTTAATTTTAGCTGATTTTTAGCTGATTTCTAATGTATGCCAATCAGATGTAAATCAGCTTTAAATAAAATAGGTTGAATTTTAGCTAATTTTTGATATATATCAATCAGATGTAAATCAGACGTCAATCAGCTAGGCTGATTTTTTGATAATTTGCTAAATTTAGACTGATTTTAGGCTGATTTTTTGTATGTTTAATTTTTTTGATTTCAAATAGTGGTAGCAGTTTTACATTGATAAATATATACAATAAAATTAATATTCAATTAATAATACTGATTTGTATAATTGAATTATTTATACTTTCCTCTAATCTCATTATTTAAAAATTTTTTATTTTTATTATTTATAACTTCACTTATATAAAAAAATTTTTTTAATTTGTTATAATGTAATCTAATATCTTTTAAAGGTAATTAATTATAATTATATTTCTTTTATAAGTTATTCTATAATTTTATATAACAAAAATTTTTATTTTGATAATTTTTTATATTTTTAATTTTATTTTTATAAAAAATATAATATTAATTTTTGCTTTTAAACTTAAAATTCAATAATAAATATATTTTATTATTGTTATAATTAATTAAATTGAAAATACATATATTTATATAAATAAAAAAATTATATATTAAAAAAGATTATAAAAATTAATTTATTATATTTTCTGCTTTTAAGTTAAATCTAAATCTTTTTAAATCTAAAAAAAAAATTATTATTAAATTAAATTATTTTAATATTTATATAATAATATTTAAAATATTACTTATCAATATTAAATCTTCTTTTATCTTTAAATAATTTCATTTTAGTTTGAAATCTTTTTGGATTATTAAATTATTTTATTGACAAATTTTTAGGAGCTTTAAATAGTTTTTGTATATTATCTTTAGAAGATATATTTCCTTCATTTATTGATTTTAATAATAGAAGATTCTGGTAAACTTAATATTACTTTATGTAAATGATAAACAATATTATATCTAATACCTTTACTTAATATACAATTATCATGTAATAATAAATGAGAACAAAATGCTAAAATTTATTTTGCTTTTAAAGGTATTATAATGTTAAGTTAAGAAAAACATATTTCACCTTCTTCATAATCTTCTAAAGCAATTAAAATACAAAAACAATTGGCTTCATCATTTTTATCCTAATGAAAATCACTTATTGTATTAAAATTAATAGCAATTATTGAAAAAATTCCAAAAAATTTTGGTGCAAATGAACCTCAAGAAAAATTGCTTAATTTTATATATAAATTATTATAATGCTCTTTGACAAATTGATTAATACAATTTGATAATAATTCAAGAGTAATAATTAACTTATTTACACATTCTAAATGATTTATATTATTACTACTTGTTATATTTACACTAATATAAAGAAAATTAGTATATTTTCTATAAGCTCCAAAATGTTTTGTCATATCTTTCCAAAAAGATTCTCTTTTATGAGATGGATTATCTAAAGTATGAAAATAATAATCATTGATAACTTTTGTTGCTTGTAAAATAATAATATTATTATTAATATTTTCTAAATGTATTAATGTTTGATTATTTTGATCTACAATATATTCAGATTTAGTTAAATAATAATAATTTTTTAATTTATTTAATGTATTATTATTTGATCTTCTGATCCAATTAATGATTTAGATATAATATTTTTATTAATAGTATTTAATATCTAATACTATTTTTTGATTTTTTTGATTTTTTAAATCATGATAAAGTCTTCTCCATTTATTTTTCTGTTTCATCATCTCTAAGGCGGCGGAGTGGTAAACGTAAAAAAAGATATGTGGATTCTCTAACAAAAGCTTCAAGAGGTCCTTGTATTGTTCCAGACAAGATAGGTACATAAAATCTCTCTGAGCTGCTACAACTTAATCCTCCAACAGCTCTTATAATCGAACGAACTAAAATCTTCTCAGAACTTTGTTTACATCTGCATATTGACCATATTGATCACGGAATTTGTGAAATGTGTAACTTCCAGAGATAAAATATTCATAAATAATACGCAACCCAACCAATGCTTCACCTCCAATTTCAGTATCTGTAGTGTCAACATTACTGCCATTACCAAATGTGACATTAATGGCCAATATTTTATTTCCACAAATTACATTCTTGAGCTCACAGTCATCTGGATATTGTTGAGCATAATTATACAGCAATTCTGGAAATTCTTGAAGGATCCGGCTTTTGCCAGTACCAGGTCCGCCAACCAGGATAGGAATAGGATGAAGTGATCGGTCTCTTATTTTTCGCATTGCAAACCTTCTATACATGCCATTTCTACTGTCAGTGCCATTCCACAAGGTTTGTATTGTATTTTCTCGTCCCTTTAAAGGAAAAATGGAACCAAAGGAGCTCACAAACTAAAAATAATGGTATTAATCAGTATTTAATCAGATTAAACAATTATTTGAGCATAGATACTATCACACCTTAGATGGTTGAATATCTGGGTTTCGTTTAAAATGCTTTATCCATGCATGAATTGATTCAGAGTTATTCCAGTTGGGATCCTCACTAACACCTTATTAATATGAAAAGGAATTAAAGTTGTACACAATAAACCAAATAATTACTCAAATGAATAAAATAAATAAACGAAATGAATGAATGGATGTATATTTTTTTACGCATTTTGTTCAATACCTTTTTCTTCAAAATTCACGAACGCGTCCTGCAACTTTTTCACCTGGTTCCATTTGTCATCCTTATCTTTCTTCAACTCCTTCTTTTTTTCCTACAACTCGTCTCTCAGTCTTACCCACCCTTTCCTCTGCTCCACATTCCTTTCTTCTCCATCATCCAACCTCTTCTCCAACTCCCATATTTTCTTCTCTTTCCACCCCTCTTTGAATTCCTTCAACTTTTCCTCCGCCTTATTCAATCTATCCTTTGCATCGTTTAATTCTTTTTTGATTTTTTCGAATGTTGCCATTTTATAATTTAAAAAAAAAATTTGTAAAATTTTTAAAAAAAATTTTTTTTTTCTGATTTAGATTAATTAATTTTCTTATGCATAATTTCTAGAAACAAGGAGTCCGGAACGATACTAGCCATATGTCACACAAGGTGTCCCGCTCATAATTGAGCCGATGCTGATTGGCCGTTTCTTAGTATTTAGTAATCTTTATCATTTAGAAACAGCAACTTTATTTGCGCCTATAAATAAAGCTTTTGAAGATGACCCTCTTATTACCAAAACTTTATAATGGTAAGTGATAATAAATTTAATAAACCGTTAAATTTTTATGACAATTCTATTTAAAATATTAAAAATATTTTTTAAATCGTAGGAATTATTCATGTATTCAGGATATATGTAAGTAAAATAATTAATTGAATTTATTTATTAATTAGTAAACTTAATCGGTTTATAATATTTTTTTTATAGATACATCTTTATCTTCTATATCAACTTCATTTTTTTTTCCAATTATCTTCGTGAGAAAGTTAGATAATTATTTGTTAAATGGAAATCATATTACTATATTTGCACCTACAAACGATGTTATAAATCGTCAATTACAATATCATGAAAGACAATATTCAATTGGAGAATGTGGTGGTGGTTTAGATGATTTGGATCTATTTGTTAAACATCACTTAAATGATGAAGTTTTATGCTCGAAAAATTTGGCGTTGGAAATACAAATGGTTTGAAAAATTGATTTACGATTAAAATTATTTTTCTTTTTAAAATATATATATAATTAAAATTCCTACCTCCTTTATTATATAGTGAGTACGGTACAGGGCGAACCAATCAAAGTTGAGAAAGATAAACTTGGTAACATACGTGTGTGCCGATGGAAATGCCCCTTAAAAGTTATTCATGTCATTAATAATATCGCAATACCAAATGCGCTTCATTTTACAAAACATAAATACCTTTGTGGATTGGGAGCAACAAAATTTGTATAAAATTCGGATTACAACATTATATTGAAGATTCAGGCACGCCATATACAATATTGGCACCAAAAGATGAATATTTTGACGATAATTTAATTAGCATAGGGAAAGTTACTTTAATATATCATGTTTTGGAAGGGAAATATGTAACTTCAGATTTATTCAATAATATGCATATCAAGACTGAATTAAGAACCAAAGATTTAAAAATCATAGACAAAGAGCTACTGTTTCCATATTACAAAAATGGTATGGATAAGATGAAACTCAGAGAGCAGAACTTCGATTAAATGATGATATTGTAGTAGATCTACCAGTCGAAATCGGAAATGCAATCATTTACGTATTAACAGGAGAATTGAACCCACCACCACCTATTATGAGAACCCTTGGAAGTGATGAACAATATAAATCAATTAATTTCTTTGTTAATCACGGTAATTTGATATCGAAAGTTAGATCAACTAAAGGATTTACAATGATTGCACCAAAAAAGCTTTCATGAAATTAGGATTGATTTCTTGCATCAAGATGCGATTGATGATTTAAGATTAGTTATAAATAATCACTTGATTAATGAACAATGTATAGTGAAGAAATACCAGATGGGGAATCGATAATTATCACGTGTTTTAACAATCCAATGAAATGATTTTAATTTTTTAATTTTTATTGGCTGATCAATGTTGATCAGCACGTGAAATTAAGCCAATAAATGGATTTTTAACTATGCTGGACGCAGTATCACAAAAATAAATTCCCGTGATGAAATATTATCTAATAAAGATCATCAGCACAGTAAAAAGCATCTTTACTTGCCGAATTCTTATCGTACTAGCGATAAAAAAATTAAGTGTTAAATTTCTTAAAAACAAGGCGGACTGGAATATTCTGAAAGTGAGATGTAACGGTAAATATGAATCGGAAACCTTGCATTATTTTTGACGGATCCTCCTTTAATAGACGTAGTTGATTCATGCGCTCACGAATATTATCGATAGACTAAAAAGCACGCGTATTACAAGATAGACTCTTGATAACCACGTAATCATGTGTCATTGATGATTTTGAATGTGTATACAATAGCCGTTACTCAGTAATAGTTCCTTTTTTTTACACAAACACTCGTACTCGTATTCTCGAAAATGCAAGTTCAAGGTAAAGAAATTTACTTATGAGATAACATTCCTCTTCTTCACCCGAGGCTTCCTTTGATTAATAAGGTCTATTGATCCTGGAGAAGGGATCGATTACGTGCCTTCCTTTATTTTTTTAATCATAAAGAAGCTTCGTGAGTAGAAGAGCTTTTCCTTCCACCCCTCGCTGGTGGTAGGCTTTTTTTTCCTTCCACCCCTCGCTGGTGGTAGGCTTTTTTTTCCTTCCACCCCTCGCTGGTGGTAGGCTTTTCCTTCCATCCCTCGCTGGTGGTAGGCTTTTTTTTTCCTTCCACCCCTCGCTGGTGGTAGGCTTTTCCTTCCACCCCTCGCTGGTGGTAGGCTTTTCCTTCCATCCCTCGCTGGTGGTAGGCTTTTTTTTTCCTTTCACCCCTCGCTGGTGGTAGGCTTTTTACACGATTCCGTAAATTAATCTCATTTGAATTTTAATGTTAATAGGTGAACAAACACTTTCTCTTTGTTGTAAATCGGAGGACTTTTCCATTTTTTTTGCAGGAACACATGGAGACAAAATCTGCGAAGTGTCAGATAACCTTATTAAGACTTGGGTGGAGGCAAAATTTCGAAACATAAAAATAGTGCACATAAGGAGAACGATAAAATCCAAGTAACCATTATAATCAATGACTTATGTGAATTTTAAAACATCAATAATAATTTAACAAAATGATTCAAAATTTAGTTGGGGCCATTTACATTTTCAAACAAAAGAAGAAGCAATCCGATTCTATGATCTTATTAAAGATCACTTACCAATAACGGGACCTCATGGAAAAAAAATGACGTTCAAACGGGGTAGAAAGTCGATTTATAATGGAAATGTTGGCGACAATGATAGTAGCAGTTCAACTTTTCCAATATCAACCTCTTCGTTGTCACCTACATCGGAATATAATGGAACCAGTATCAGCATTAAAGACTATGATGATGATAGCGTTAATAATAACACACAGAACAAGGATAGAAAAAGCGTTACGAAATTAATAAGATATAATGATAACATTTCGTCGGGTAAGCTAATATCACATTATTAAGAGGCTATTCCTTTATATTTAACGAGAATTGGCTGATTTATATATATTTTTGTAGAAATATATGAAATCGATACTAACGATAAAGAATTACAGGAATGTATAACTAAAATAGTAAGCAAAAGTAAGTTTCTTAACGAAATCGAGGAATCAGTTTCGGTGGAATAAAGTTTCTATCATTAATTTATACTTTTTCTAAATATAAATAATAGCTTTGAAGCGGAAGTCGAATGACCAAATTATAATTGAAGAAACTCAAGCCAAAAAACTTCCTAGCAACGTTAAAATGTGGTCTCCAGACCATGTTAAAAAATTTCTCGAGTCCCGTATGAATAATTCCGATTTCAATGAAATCGATATTAAAAAGATCCGAGATAAAAAACTCACTGGTAGAGCTTTTCTTCGTCTTACTGAGGAAAAGTTAACTCGTAAAGATGGCCTTTACGAACTGAATCCAAGTCCTGCTGAAGGAATCATGGAACTAGTCGAAGAACTTAACAAACTTAGGTAATTAATCAGGGATTATATCAAAGAAAAGTCTTCATTACGTTATACTTATTCGTATTAATTCTCCCATTTAAGTGAAAGATAAAATCATTGAAGTTGAAACGCCACCAAATTTAGAATAAAATAAGAAAGCTAAATTAGATTATATTCTACAACATACAGCATCCGAATAATGTATCACATTACTATGTAATTATTTAACCAATGTCTGAATATGAGCATCGAAATAATAAAAAAATGCAATTGAATTTTTCAAAAACGCCAATACCATCAATATTACATTCATCAACTGTGGTGGCGCAGATGTTCAGGAACCCAGTCACACGATTTTGGGTGAACAATTTTCGCTGTGAAAACTTCAGGTTATGAGTTACGCAGAATTTACTAACCCTGTCGTTAATTACAGTGTTCGTTAGCCCGAAAACAAACGAAGAGCTTCAAGTGGACCGTAAACATCGAACACGCGACTCTTGAAGGCCCCAAAAATTTCACACATGGAATGTCCCCGACGCCAGCACATAATAATTAATTAATTTCCTCGATTTTACTTTCATACCTAACCTATTAATTAAGACGACCCAAACATACAATGGTAATAAATGATAATCATTCAATCCCCAAACTCCGTGAGAACCGGCTGGTTCAAGCCAATATTTAAATTGAAGATTCATCATGATATCTATATATCTTTTTTAAACCAAAAGAAAAAAAATTAATATTTAAAATAATATTTTTATTTTTGAAAATATGATAGAAAGCTTAAAAAGTAATATTTACATTTAAAACACTTTTGAAAGACTCTTAATATAATAGATGCGTAATCATTTGATCCGATAAATCCTAATTTTTCAAAACATAATCTATAAATATAAAGTCAATTTATTAATTTGAATTAATTAGATGCGATAAAAAATTTATAAAAAATATATAAACACATACAACCAAGCCATGAAATTAGCTTCATGACTCGTGCCATAATCTATTCTCTTACGATCTCCATAAATTAATGGGAAACTTCTTTAATGGCTGCCGGAAGGTAAAGAGAAATTTTCAGCAGATCGAATGGAACAACCGAACAGAATCAACAAGAAAATCAACTTTACATTAACAACTCGATCATAGAAAATCCCTAAAAAGCCGGATTTCCAAATCTACTCATTTCATTTTATCTCAAAATGTTACACGGAATGAAACTTTTGAAGTGTAACTGAAGAATATTCTAGATTTGATTTCTAAATTTGGTATAAGACTAGACTGTTTAATTCCCAAATAAATTTTTTACGTGCGAGTTGGAAAAAAGCTTTCTATTCTGTATTTGTCTCGCCTTTTTTGTCTCTACTCTTTGTCATTATCATATCTATATCTTTATACAAAGGGTTTCTACATTTTTTTTTATATATCATATACTTCTTAAAACGCGTCTGTTTTAATATAATGGCAGCACCTGAGGACGTTTATTCATCAATACCTCTTAATGAACGAGCAACACATAAGGTTTTTTTTTCCCCCCCTTCAAAATACTCATTCATTTTTAATATTGATGATATAATATTTTCGTATTTTGGTTCTTTTAGATTTGGAAAGTTCGGGTTGAAGCTTATGAAGAACTTGCCAAATTATTTAAAAATTCAGATAGCGAAAGCGACTTTAGGTTTTATGAGGGCTTAATGAAAAACATTGCGACAGACTCTAATGCCGTCGCTCGAGAAACTGGTTTAACGACATTGAATGCATTTGTTGATAACGCACCAAATCCATTGAGGTAAGTTTAACTTTTTCCTTCTCGTCAATAATAATTAACCTTCTTCAAAAGTTTTTAGCGCGTCAAAATATATTTGAATAGTTTATAAACTGGCGCCTAATATTCGCTCAAGATCTTAATATTGTAGTCTCCTCTCAATTGCAGGATCAGGGCTTCTATTATACAGGCCGTTGTTGATAAGAGTTTCGGCTCAAGCCGTTCTGGAACAAAATCTAAAGCAATAGAACTCATACTGTTATATATAGAAGTTGATATACCAGATCCTATAGTGGTGTGTGAATGAATATCTTACAATTAATAATCACAAAATAAAATTTGCTAAATAATATTTATTATTTTTAGGAAGTTGTCCTTGCTGGATTAAATGCCAAACAACCTAAATTGGTTGCCACAGCTGTTCATGCACTTAAGGAGATAATTAGGTACTGATATAAACCTTAGATTGCTTTTTATTTAATGCGATAGATAGTTCAATAAAATTAATCGTTTACTTGATATACATATACATAATATAAAGACTTTACGGTGCAAAAACAGTGAATGTTAAGCCTATTCTCAAAACTATACCAAAAATATTTGCACACACGGATAAAGATGTGAGAAGTGAGGTAACTGAATACAATACATTATTCTGTATAAAGATGATTTTATCGTGTTATCATAAACTAATTTAAATTTACCTTAGGGAACACAATTAGTAATAGAACTTTATAGGTGGTTGAATAAAGCAATAGTTCCACATTTATCAGAATTAAAGCCAGTACAGGTTAAATTAAAAATAGAAAGATGAAGTTGCCTTATTGTTATTTAGAAACTTCAGATTTAATTAATATTTATTGATTATAGATCAAAGAATTGAATGAGACATTTGACAAATTACCACAAGAAAAACCTAAACAGGAACGATTATTACGTTCACAAGTAGCTGCAGCAGAGGCAGTGGCTGAAGCTGATGGAGGTATTGCTCTGTGCTATTATAAAGCATTTGGTTAGATTTATCTTTTTAATAATTTGAAATATATATAATAGGTGATGAAGCTGAAGCAGACGAGGAGAAAGAGATTGATACATATGATTTAGCAGAACCAGTTGATGTTCTATCAAAATTGTCCAAGGAATTCTATACTGGATTGGTAATATTTATTATACGGCATTAATTGTCATATTAGATTCTTGAAATAACATCATACATCCTTTTAGGGTTCTACCAAATGGAAAGAAAGGAAAGAAGCTCTGGAGGGTTTATTAGAAGTCTGTAAGACACCGAGGATCGTGGATGATAATTATTATGATTTAACCGCTGCCCTTGCAAAGGTGTGAGAGTATTTTGTAAACATGATTAAGATCATGTAATGAGAAATCTTACTTTATGTCACATTTTAAAATTATAGCGTATGTCAGATTCCAATGTTCTAGTAGTTACAATCGCAGCTAATATAATAGAATCGTTGGCCTTGGGTTTACGTGAATCTTTTGCAAAATATAAATCAACGGTAATTTATCACGTTCAATTGATTATTTGTTTGATATTGAATCCCTTATTAAAGTATTATTTTTATACAGGTAGTAGGTCCCATGATAGAAAAACTTAAAGAAAGGAAACAAACTGTAGTTGATGCTTTGGCATCGGCGCTAGATGCCGTATTTTTAAGCGTAAATATTATAGGTCATTCTAATTTTTTATTTATTAAACTATTTAATAATGTTATTATTCGACAGGTTACAATATCTGACGTTTCTGAGGACATATTGGCGGCCGGAAAACACAAGAACCCACAAGTTAAATCAGAGTCCATGAAATGGCTTGTCAGATGTATAAAAAATACTAAAATTGCACCACAAAAGGCTGAAATCAAATCTTTAACTGAAATGATGGTGAAGGCTTCTGAGGACAGTTTTGAACCTGTTCGTAATTCAGCATTTGAAGGATTGGGAACAATGATGAAAGTCATTGGTGAGAATGCGATGAACACTTTCTTGGAAGGGATTGACGATATAAAAAAGGGAAAAGTCAAAGAAAGTTATGAAAAGGCCGAAGTTAAAGTAAAATTTACTGCTACGAAAAAGCCTCCACCTCCAGCCAAAGCAGATGCGCCCAAAAAAAAATCCTATGGAAAACCTGTGCCAAGACAAACTGTGCGTCATATTTTCGGAGTAGTTAGTTTAATCTTTCTTTGATATTGTTATAGAATAGTTCAACTCATTCTGCTTTTGTATGTTGAAGAGATCTGCAACTAAGAAGGCTGCTGAAAAATCCGCCCTTGCGGCAAAACCAGGAGGTCCTCCGAAAAAAGCTTCTACAAAGAAGAATGAAAAAGTGAAGGAAGAAGTTATCAAATACAAGTTTACTAGCGAAGAAGTTGAGTCCAAGTTTGCTGAATTGATTTCTGACGATCTGATTACCGGATTGAGTGAAAAGAATTGGAAATTACGTTTGGCAGGTATGATATTTAGTAAAATTATTTGCGTTGGAACTATGCAGAATTTTTACTATTTTATTTTCATATAGCTATTGAGAATCTTCTAATAACGTTGGAAAAGATGGATCCATCTGAAGTAGAAGCGGAGTTGTTTATCAGATTTCTTTCTATTAAACCTGGCTGGAAAGAAAGCAATTTTCAGGTTTATATTATATTGAGCTTAGAGGAAAATAATATTGTATAATGCGTGTTAACCTAAGTTTTCAATTTTAGATTTTATCAAAAGCATTTAATATAATGGAGATACTTTGTCAAAAGGTTCCGTCATTTGGAAAACCAGCGGCAGCATTAGCAATACCACGTAAAATGCGTTTATCTTATATCACAACTTTTTTTCATCAAAATATAATATAATATTTATGTTCGTTACTGTAGTATTGATAGAAAAGTTGGGTGACATTAAATTAAAGAAAAGCGCAGGAGACGCATTAACGGCTTTTTCCGAAAAAATATCCTTACAATTTGTAATTTCTCAAGGTTAGTAGTTATGGTGTCTAAATTAATAAATATTTAAAATACTAATAAAACCTTTAAATACAGCATATGACCCATTACGTAAAGCAAAAACACCTAAGACATTAGCTGATAGTTTAACATGGATGCATGGTGCTATTATGGAGTTTGGAATAACAGCTCTTCAAGTGCGCGAGCTGATTGAATTTCTCAAATTCGCATTAAGCAGTCATAATGCGGCTGTTCGCACAAATGCTGTCATCGTTTTGGGAGCTTTGCGCGTTTTTGTGGGACCAGGTAAAAAAAAGGAAATTTGTTAAAATAATCATGTATATTTCCCAATTGTAATATAATATATAATATATATAATATTTTATTTATGTTGTAGATATAAGAACATTTGTTCAAGACTTAAATCATGCACAACTAGCCGCAATTGACAGTGAATTTGAGAAAGTAGCTGACGAAGCACCACCGAAAGCATTAAAAACAAGCGTGTGTATCTTCAAACCTAGATCATTTTTATATATATTGATTTTTTATTTAACCTATTTTACATTTAAAAAGGTCGATGTTATAAGCAAGGGTGGTAGTGGGAAAGATTCTTTAGAAGAATTGTTTCCTAAAGTTGATGTTAGCGCACAATTTACTAGTAAAATGATGGCTGTAAGTTTCTTTAATTGGTGACTATATTATCCTTGCTTAATGGTAAATAGTTGATATAATAATATATATTGTTAGGAATGCAACGATGATAAATGGAAAGTTCGAAAGGATGCACTCAATCAAGTTCTTGCTATTGTTGATGCTAACAAGAAAATTAAACCGAACTTAGGTTTGTTAATATATAAATAAACTTTAAAAAAAAAGCAAACTAACCTTATTTACAATATTTGTATTATAGATGACTTCATTCCTATTCTAAAAGAGAGGCTATCAGATAGTAATAAAAACTTGCAAATGATGGCTTTGGATATAACTGCCAAGCTTGCTACTGCGATGGGAAAGTCATTTGACAGACATATTATAATATTAGTGGCGCCAATCATTGCTGTTCTTACAGATAAAAAAGCAACAGTTCGTGGTAGTGCTATTGGAACTTTGGATGCTTTAGCGAATGCTTGTGGGCTCGATCCTTTAATTGGTTCATTTTCAACAAGTCTTGCAACAGAGAATCCTTTATTAAGAAAAGATCTATTGAGTTGGCTCTCTGAACGCCTCAAAGAATATGTAGAGTGTGATAAAAAGAATGCGTTACCAGATTTGTCACCCATGGTTCAACCAATTCTATCTTGCTTACAAGATCGGAATGGTGAAGTTAGAAAAGCCGCACAGGCTTGTTTAGGAGCTATAATAAAAAGTGCCGGATACGATCACGTGGTAGCAAGATGTGGTGATTTGAAAGGTGCAGTAAAACCGACAATTATGCCGACGATAGAAGCCTTTCGACCAACAGGCCCTAGTGGCCCTGCTGCAAGGAGGGTTGCTAAAAAGGCGGGCCTAAAATCTCGACTTGCTGCACTATCAGGCAAGGATAAAGATGATGAAATAGATGGTGATGTACCAGCGAAATTGTCACCAGGATTATTATCAGCCAATTCAACATTTAATAAACCTACTGCATTATTAGCAAGTCCATTATCTACGACAAATCCTAATGCATCGAGTATACCTACAAGTGGACCACCCTCTTTATTAGCACAACCTAGTGGTATTAGTAGGATCCAGTCACCTTCTCAAAGAGGTGGCAATCCAGGGTTACTACCTCTGTCAAGACGTCCTAGTGTGAATGACGGTTCCATGGATGAGAATGAAACTAAGAAAGATATGTCAATTGATAATTCAGAACATTACATATCAGATAATAATGAAATAAATGATGTTCCGCATTATCCGGGATTACCTCCTGCTATACAGCGAACATCTAAGCGCGGTTCTGTTTTAATGGTTGAGATTATCATAATTAAAATTATGAGTACGGAGTTTCAACAAAGTATAGAGGCATTGAAAGAGTTGGACAAACATTTGAACACTTTTCCTGAATCCATTATTCCTGATGTAGATGGACTCGTAAATGCTTTAGCATTCCAAGTTCGAATTTCTTATACACAGCTTCAACAACAATCACAGAGTTTAATTCGACTTTGTAATCCTCTTGTCAACGCTTTAGTACTATTATTTTCAAATAAGAATTTGGCATTAGCTGTGTCTCAAGATTCACTTAACCGTTTATTATCTGAGCTAGCACATCGTTTGTTAGATCCTAACCTTTTAGTAGTGGATGGTGGTCAACAATTATCAAAAGCGCTTAATGTCTCAATGGTTAAGGTACTTGAAAATAGTAATCGTAACAGAACGTATAGGTGAGAGATATAATTTTCCTATTTTTTAAAAAAATTATTACTCATTAATATATACTCATTATTATTTCTTCATTTTTTTTTTTAGTGCTCTAATTTCAATACTAGAAAAATCATCATATAATTTGCGTGAGGTTGATGCGGCCACTGCTACCACACAAACAAAGCTTACTGAACTAATTATGAAATGTTTATGGAAACTAGCAAAGACACTTCAAGATAATTTGAAGGCTGGTATCCTTTCACCGAATCAATTATTACGTGATATCAATAGTTTCTTTTTAGCAACGCCACCAGCTGAATGGAAAAGACGAGCAGCAGAAAAGGTGCCACTAGGCGAAATTCCTTTACGTACAATTAAAACATTGTTACTTGAATTGGTAACAGGTCTTGGTGATAATGTATACGAACATTTAGACCTTATTGAAGATCCTCAAAGTAGTTATATTTATCCTTATTTACATCATATGATCGAGGCTACTAAGAAGGATAAGCTAGCTAGCAATTCAACAATCGCTTACAATGATATATCAGGTTGTTCATCTTCAATGTCATCAGGCCGATCTTTTGGTTCATTTAGTTCATCCGGTTCCGACTCGACATATGCCTCTACAGATACTGCAAGAACTTCACTTTTGAATGAAGCTTCGATTAGGAATAATCCACTGGCAAGAAATTCTCCATCAGCTAGAAGTTGTCTACCAACTAGAAGTTCTCCTGTACCCGAAGTTCCTAGTCATATTGAAACAATGTCAAATGCTTCAGATCCAGTAAGCCCAGCGTCATCACACACTCCAATGACTCCGAAATTCACTACATCAGTTGGTAGTGCATGTTCATTAGATTCAGATGAAGAAATGAATACACGGCTAACTCAAATTTTCTTTAAAATTGGAACGAGAGAAGATACAAAAAAGGTAATTATAGGGAATCAATTAAATAAATAATCAATAGAATTAAATAATCAAAGATCTAAATTATTTGAAATTTTGTTTATTCAGGGTATATATGAATTATATGAATTTCAAAAACAACACCCTGATATGAAAGGCAAGATAGCAACACATTTATCTAGGACAGGCCCATATTTCCAAAGTTATATTCGCCGTGGACTTGCCAACATTGCTATAGAAGAAGAGGAAATGGATAAAGAAAGAGCTAATCTATGTATGTTATTTAATTATAATAAAATTTTGTTCTATTTTGGATTTAGTTTAATAATATTTTTCATGATTTAGTTCCTCAAAATTCAAACAATTATGATAATACGGAGGATAATATAGGTAAGATTATAATCATATATTTTATATTAATTTGATTGAAATATTCAAATTAAAATTTTATTAACTTTAAATATCTAGATGAACAATGTAAAATAAAACTTTTGAGACTACAACAAATGTTTGGTTATCCAGTTGAGGCAAACCATAAATGAATGAATATATGGCAAATGCAATTAAAAACGCGCGCCAAAGGCCAATCTTTCAAAAGTCATCGTAACCAAGAAATTAATAATCAATTGGTTGACTTCTAAATGTTATTGAATCAATAACTGCACCGCACGATTTGTATATACCTGTAACAATATAAAATGTAAAATTTTTTTAAATAATTTTTTTTTTTTTTTGCTCAATTAAAAAAATCGCTATATATAAAATTGAAGTATGAAAACCTGTAAGATTTTTGTTTATGATATAAATACAAATAAAGCTTGACTTTTATAAGCATGATATATAACCCGGTCAGAATTATTAAACATGAATTTAAAATTTGTACCTAGCTGAAATACAGAAATTTAATGTGAAAAAAAAAAAAAAAAAATTAAGTATTTCGACCGTTGCCGAGATTTCGAACATTCTGGAATAAACCACATTTTCCGTATTACTTGAGCTTACTAATTATTAATACGGTTATGTAAAGTTTAAAGTTTAAAATCAAATATAGTTTTAAGCAACACAGTACTACTGTCAACCTCTCATTCCCGAACAAAGACCACATTTTTAACGACCCTCAAAGTGCAAATAAAAATCAAGGAGACATATGACGTCTCAACTGACATACAAGGAATCTTCGGAAACAACCAGACACAACCCGCGCAAAAGGCCAAGATCTGCTACGCCAGGCTCAACTGGAAATGCAGGGGGTTTGTTTCCCTTCTGGAATGAATACACGCAGGAAGAATCGAAGAAGTGGTGGTTACCCAAAAGGTATGAGTTTAATTATTTATTTGCTTTGATTTATTGATTTTTTATTTTACTAACTTTTTTATTAGGACCGATTGTGCCGTTTCGGATTCGAATTTGTGGAATGGATCTTTGAAAAGAATGGGACTCGGCTCATGGTACTCGGTACGGATGTTAGTGCCGAAAGTAGTGAAGCCGGAGAACTTGCAATCGTCACAGTGTTTGTGGCGTGAAATAATGGACTACGTTCTGCCGCAAATCGTAGAAAAAGTAAAGGTGCCACCCAAGAAGAAAGAAATGAAGAAACTTCCAACAAGCAAAGTACAACGCATCCGCCTTTTTCCCACTCAGGAGGAGCGAATGAAACTCAGGCAATGGATAGGGACAGCACGATGGACATACAATCGATGTCTTATCACGATCCAAAAAGAAGGTGTCAATCGAAAAAAAAAGGATTTAAGGGCACGATGTCTCAATGCCATAAACTTCAATAATACCGAACTTAAATGGGTCCTTGAGACTCCCTATGATATACGAGATGAAGCTATGAATGATTTGCTTAAAGCATATTCTTCCAACTTGCTGCAAATCGTAAAAAATTCAAGATAAAGTTCCGTTCTAAAAAGGATTCTCAACAGTCAATTGCAATACTTTCC